AAAAAAAAAAAAAAAAAAAAAAAAAAAAAAAAAAAAAAAAAAAAAAAAAAAAAACTAAATGTATTAACAAAACAATAAATTTTAAATTCTTCTAAGTATTTTTAAAATAAAATATTCTAACCATTCCTCCAAAACTAATTTTTAATTTTGAGGGTATTATTTCAAAATTATTTTAAGATAAATATATTTTTTTATATTAATTTAGTCGAATAATAATAATAATAATAATTCATCAAAAAAAAAAAAAAAAGACGCTGTTTTAAAAATAATGTTTATATAAACCAATTTGACGGTGTGAATTAATTTTAAAATTTATCGAAATAATAAAAATTGAAAAAGAAAAAAATAATAAAAGTCAAACTTCATTTACTTAATAGAATGTTCATACACTCTTATTATTATTATTATAATTATTATTATTATTATTATTATTATTATTATGGTTATATTTTGTATAATGTAATAAATTAAAGATTTGGATATAAAAATGTCCTTTCCGTGTAACAGCGTACTTAGCAACGCGTTGATGCCGTCGTCCATGTTAAACGTTGGACCATTACTTTGAAGGTCCACACAAAACGGACTTATTCTTTCCTAATCATTGTCTCGACTTTAATTTCGAACTTTTATTATTAGCATACCCTTTACTCAAGTTTAAAACGTTGGTTCTCGAAATTAAAATTTTAAATTATCTTAAAATCTTCGAATCTTCAAACTGCTTCAATTTTCATTCAAAGCAGCTATAGTTTTCGAAGAGTTTGTAATCTTCAAAAGGAATCGTTCGGTCTTTTAGAAATCTTTTCTGTTTTTTAAATTCTCAATTTATGAACTTAGAGAACGGCCTTTTTATTTAGAAAATCTGCTACATGTACCACCTGACCCTTTGAATTTAGGTTTTAAACACGATCGTTATTTGGAGTTTTAAACCCGACCCTTTGAAATTAGTTATACGGTTAAATATTGATATTAAATTTTCAATATGAACATAGCTCAACATTATTAATATATAATATTTTTTTAGATTAAAGATTTAAATGTCTGGTGTTATATTTATTATAATAATATATATTGTTTATTTATTTAGATGAAAATTAACGTTTTAAAACTAGTGAAATCAAATAAATTCAAGAATTAAAATAATGGAACAAAATTAAAATTGGAGAAAAAAGACATTTAAAGTAATTAAATATTATAATTAACCATGGTTTGGGAGAGTTAACCATAATGTGGTGTAAAGCTTTCATAAATTTGACAGAGGCATGACAGAGAAGCGGCTGCCCAGGTTGGAAGGTTTGACGAGTTTGTTACTCTGACTCCTCAAAGTTGAGGGTACTTTTGGAATTTTGTGAACCCTCAACGACTTGTCGGCAACTAGGTCAACGTTCAATCCTCTCAAACTTTCCCGCCTACCTCAAAGAATCGGCACGTGACCTTCTATCCTTTTCCGTTATTTTCTTAATTTTTTTTGGTTCACACGTGATATGAGAGAATTATAATTTCTAATATCTTAATTTAGGATATATATTTTAATTAGATGAATAATAGTTTTACTTTTATATTGACTTCCAAAATATTTATAAAAATAATAAATAAAAAAAATCTCGATTTAATAATAATATATTTTTTTACTAGCTTTACTTTTACGACTCTAAATCTTTTAATGGGCCAAAGGGTATGAAGATAATTGGGCTGGGCCTGGAGCATCCGTCTAAGGGTCTGGAGGATCCAAGGATGTACTCGTGGGCCAACCCGAGACTAGGGAGGCTGTGGTGTGACCGGCGGCGAACTTGATTCCCGGCGCGTGTTTTTCACACAGAATTAAGGGAGAGTAAGTTTGAAGGGTCGGCAGAGTTGGTCGAAACTGAAATGGAAGACCACGCGCTTCATTTGTTTGAGCGATATGCTGTTGCTGTTGTCGTTTTCTTGAGAAATATGTTTTAAATCTAAAAAATAAAAACAATAACCTAAAAATAAAAAATAAAAGCGTGAAATTTTGTTTTTATTATATATTTTTTAATATTAAGTTTATAATTTGATATGAAAAAAAACCGTCCATATAATGACATAAGATAATATTTGTTAACACACCAGATTTTATTAATCGTCGTTAGAAAAACTAATCCAATTTCGAATCCATTGATCTCCAGGTGTGGGAATACTCACTCTTATACTACAACGACCACTGAAAAATATATTATTTATTAATACAATATTTTATAAACTCCTTTTTAGAGGAAAAAAAAAAACAATCGAGTTCCGAATTTTATCAAACTACCATAGTGGTCAAACCCAAACTCAAACCAAACCACGAGCGTGACAGAGTGACAGGCGGGAATACTCACTCTTGTACTACAACGACCCTTTTAAAAAAAAAGCAATCTAGTTTCGAATTTCATCAAACTACCGCTGTGAGGTCAAAACTTGAACTCAAACCAAACCGATTAGGTGACATGCAGAAATACTCACCACTATACTACAACGACCTTTAAAAAAATATAATATTTGTTAACACACCACATTCTATCAATGTCGTTTGAAAAAATAATCCAATTTTGAATCCGATTAAAATTGTCCACATAAAATTAAAGTCGTTATTGTTGGGACCAAACTTAACAAGTGGGAATACTCATCCTCATGCAACTGCAACCAAACCTTCCACTCCATCTTCTTTCAGAATTTTCTATAAATAAAATTAGTTTTCTAGTCATAATTGTCGAAATCCTCGGTGGAGCAGAACTTCCCAACTTTGAACCGCCATTCATTTTCTGCTCATCAATGGCTTCTTCAACAAACGACGTAGCCGACGAGTTCTTTCCCTTCTTAAGAATCTACAAAAACGGCCGCATCCAACGACTCCAAGTCACCTCCGACATAGTCCCCGCCTGCGCCGACGACCCCAACTCCGCTTTCCGAGCAAAGGATGTCACGATCTCCGTGGATTCCGCCCTTTCGGTGCGTATTTTCATCCCCTCCGCCGTAGATCTCAATCAGAAGTTGCCCCTTCTGTTGTACGTCCACGGCGGAGCTTTCTGCTTCGAATCGGCTTTTAATTTGCAGTACCATAGCCACGTGGGTTCTCTCGCTGCTAAGGCCAACGCCGTCGCTGTTTCCGTCGAGTACCGCCTCGCGCCGGAGAATCCAATCCCCGCCTGCTATGACGATTGTTGGGATGCTTTACGGTGGATCGCGGCCCATGTGAACAGGTGAGGCTGATTTCAATTTTAAATTTTTTTTTTAACTTATCTAAATAAAGTAGAAGGATATGAAAAACTTCCTTAAGAAAGCAAATACTTTAACAAATATTTAGATATTTGTTGATATATATATTAATATTTTTTTATTGGTGCGAGGATTGTGTTAACATTTTTAGTTTGGGTTCAAAACCTTGTGCGCCAACAGGGATGGTCCAGAGCCGTGGCTAAATGAGCACGCAGATTTGGACCGGATCTGTTTAGCTGGCGACAGTGCGGGCGCCAACATCTGCCATCACTTGGCTGTTCGAGCAGGATCATCAGCAGAGCAGCTGGGCAGAGTAAAGGTGGTGGCATTGGCTTTGATTCACCCATTCTTTGGCGACGGGGCGGAGGACAGGCTGTGGAAGTATCTGTGTTCGGACACCACTTGGCTGAGACCCACCGCACAGGATCTGGCCACGTTGCCTTGTCGGAGAGTGAAGATCTTTCTGGCAGAGAAAGATTCTCTGAAGTTCGGAGGGAGGAATTACGATGAGGATTTGAAGAGCAGCGGGTGGAAGGGGGCGGTGGAGACGGTGGAGCACGGCGGAGAGGATCATGTGTTTCATTTGAAGATGCCGGAGTGTGAAAAGGCCGTTGATTTGATGGAAAAATTAGCCTGTTTCATAAACTTAGATTAGGATAAAACTAAGTTAATCTTAAAATTAATATGGTTGGGGTTTGTTTTTGAATTAGACTTCTTCGACAATAATCGCATGACTTTTGAATGAATTGTAACACGAATTGATGACGGGTCTTTTAAGATGTGATAGGTCGAAAAAGTTTGTCTTTTTGAATATGGTACGACATAGTCTCTTTTAACAACACAAAGAGAATTGAAAAGCTTAAATGCTTAAGGTTTCTTTGTTCTAAAAGACCACTCCTCGGGTCATATCCAACAGTGTCTTCATTTATTCTTCCATATAAACTCGAGGCAAAGGTATAATGTGATGTCCCACATTGGTTGGGGAGGAGAACAAAACATGTGTGGAAACCTTCTCTTAGGAGGCACGTTTTAAAGCCTTGAGGGAAAGTTCGTAAGGGAAAGTCCAATACGACAATATCTGTTAGCGATGGATTTGGGTCGTTAGCTCATTGTTGCTTGATAGCCCGAAAGTGAATACAATTATTCACTTGATAGGTCATTATTGCTCGTTGAATAGTCTTTGTTCACTTGATATCCATATGGAATAGTCTTTGAGATAAGGAAAACTTAAGGGTATGGTGTCTAAGTGGTCAAAACGATAGAAACAATGACACCCACTTAAGCTAATAAAGTAAGTGACTTTATGATTTGAGTTAGATAATTGAATGATATATGCTGGTGCATGCCTTGTGACCCCTACATGCACCAAATTATTTTATACTATGGTTATGAACTCTTTATATTGTCATATGATGTTATTTAATGTATGCATGTGACATTCATTACACTATATCATGGATGAAATGAAATGCTATATATGTCATGTTATGTCTTACCATGTGAAGTTATATGATGGATACTATGATGATTGTCATGTATACATAATACATTTATGTATATGTTATTGGATGAAGAGGAGAAAGGGAATGATATTAATTGTCATGAATGTAAATCATGGGGACCTCATGCATGTATGCATGTCATACATATTGGGATACTTTTCCGTTATGTTATGTTCGTACGGTTGCATACGTCATGATATCATGTGGGCATTTTTTTTCTATGGCATTCGGCGACATGTAATGCGTTGTGTCTAACCAAGACAAACTTAATAAGTATGTATACGAGCCCTCCTATTGGGTCTATGTGCACGTACATGGGCCGTATGTAGGGAAGTATCACATATTCAACCTTGCCCGAAACTGGAAAGAGTCTGAGGCCACGTTACGACTTTAAAAGAATAGGTCCCAAATCATGTTATGTGTGTGATTGTATTATTAACCCTAAGAGTGGGTTGTATTACTAACTCCAACAATATGTCTTAAAATATTGAAATCACATGTTACCCTTATATTTTTCATGTAAAGGTAAAACTCCCATGCATGAAGGACGGTGAACGCTAAAAAGATCATGAAAGTCAAGATAAGTCAGTAGAACACGTAAAGTTTCATGAGTGGTTGATAGGTGTTTTAATGTAATTTATTCTTTATTCAAAGACTATGTTATCTTTATTTTGTTTCGACTAAAATAGGTAAGATTATAGTCTTATTTTAAATATTTATTATAAGTTTCCGTATGTATATGTGTGTATGTATATATATATATATATATATGTATGTATGTATGTATTTAAGGTATGCATACACAGTGATGCCACAAACTTAGAGCAAGAAAGTAATTAAGAATTTTAAATTTAATAAGACACATTAAAAGAAATAATGCATCATTAATGGAAACCATTTGCATGGCATGGAGTAGTCTAGTAAGGTTTTTAATACCCATTAATGTAATTAAAAAAAAAAAAAAAAACCAACCATTAAAGTGTTAGGTTGTATTATGAATTTCAAGTTGTTGGAGCTACCCATCCAATTAACTTGAAGTTTCAGTGTAATGATCCAAGCTTCCCTTGAGATTTTAAAATGTATGAGAGGTTTTAAAATCTTAGGAGAATCCAATAACTCGACAACCCAACAACCCGAATCAACCCATCCCGAACTATAAGGGTTGAGTTGGGTTGGATTAGTATTTCAGGTAGGGTTGGATTCTGAGCCCAAACTAAATCGGTTCGGTTTCGAGTTCGTGGGCAAAACCTTTGGGTTCATAATATATTTTATATATTTTTATTTGGTTCGAATCAACTCGAAAGTTTTGCCCACGAACCCAAAGCCGTACCGATTCAATTCGAGCTCAGACAAATGTTATATATATATATATATATATATATATATATATATATATAAAGCTATTTGTATATATCACAATTTATATATATTTTTATTTTTTTAATAGTTTAAGACTAGTCGAGCATAAATAAGCCTATTTCAATTAAAATATTTTTATATATAAAATAATACATTTAAACTAATCATTTTTATGGTTTATTTAATTTTATTATTATTATTAGTATTATTATTATTTTTGTTAGTTTAACCAATTCAATATATTTAATATTATTATTATTATTATTATTTTTATTTTATTTTGTTAGTTTAACCCATTCTCAATAAATGTCTATATTTGTTTTAATTTTCTCTAGTTTTATGATAAGGTTGAAATATGCTATATGTTATAATTTTGGATTGTATTGATTTTTTTTTTAAATAATTATAGATTGATTTGTATTTATTTGTAAATTTTTAATATATTTAATCTAAAATTATATTCTAATTAATTATAGAGGTAGATAAATAAAACCTTAAAAAAAAAAACTGGGAACATGAAACTCTGTGGCTAGGATAAATGATTGGCTGCGGACGCCCTCATCTTTTTACTGTACACTCATTACCATATATATATGGTATATTTATATATTTGGTAATGAGTGTAGAGTAAAAAGATGTATATATATATATGGTAATGAGTGTACAGTAAAAAGATGAGGGCGCCCGCCGCCAATCATTTATCCGAACCACACAGCTTTTTTAAAGTTCACGAATTACACATTTCTTGTCAAAACAGAGTGAGGAATTTTGTTGAGTATCGTTCTGTTCATCCGCCGCTTATTTCTCCTTTCCATGGATTCCACCGAAATTGCCCACAACTTTTCCCCTTTGTTTATCGTTTACAAAGACGGTACCGTCCACAGGTTCCTCGGCAACGATGTAATACCTCCTTCTCCGGATCCCCTTACCGGCGTCGATTCCAAAGACGTCGTCATCTCCCCGGAAACCGCTGTCTCTGTTCGGATTTACAGGCCCAAACCCGCCACCGCCACCGCACAACCCCAGAAGCTTCCTGTTCTCGTTTACGTCCACGGCGGTGGCTTCTGCATCGAATCGGCATTCTCCCCTTTCTACGACCGCCACGTCAAGTCCTTATCTGCTGAAGCCAACGTTGTCGCCGTCTCTGTTGACTACCGCCTTGCTCCGGAGCACCCTCTTCCGATTGCTTATGAAGATTCATGGGCCGCTCTGAAATGGGTCGCTGCCCATTCCGATGGAAACGGGCCGGAGGAGTGGCTGAATGGAATCGTGGATTTGGATCGGGTTTATTTTGCTGGAGATAGCGCTGGAGCTAACATTGTTCATCACTTGGCGGTTCGGGTCGGGTCGGAGGGGATTCCCGGGTTGAATCTGAAGGGATTGATTTTGGTTCATCCTTATTTCTGGGGAGGTAAATTGGTCGGAGATGAAGAGAAGCTGAGACCGGAGGAAAGACACTTTATGGAGAAATTGTGGTATGTGACTTGCCCTACAATTAGCGGGTTAGATGACTCGATTGTGAACCCGGAATATGACCCGAAATTGGGACAGCTGGCGGCGGAGAGAGTGGTGGTTTATGTGGCGGAGAAGGATGCTCTGAAGAACAGAGGATGGTTTTACAGTGAGTGTTTGAAGAAATCGGGATGGGGTGGCACCGTCGAGGTCGTGGAGACAAAAGGCGAAGGCCACGTGTTCCATTTGTTCAACCCAACGACCGACGTGGCGGTGGATTTCGTCAGAAAGCTTGCTGCCTTCATCAATGGCAATGGCGGCCGCCATGATTGATCTCAGAAAATGAAATAAATCCCCTTCCCCCCCCCACCACCCCTCACGGCCCTCTTCGACGGCGTCGGCCACCGGCGGCGGAATTTTAGGCCGTTTTAAATTTCCTGTTCTATTTACATTGTAGTGTACTTTGGCGGGGAAATAAATAAAGGGATTTAAAGTGGAATCAAATCAGGAATTGTATTTCTAATTCTGTTTTCTTTATGACTTTACATTTCTGTTCTTCTTCTCTAGGGTAAGTGAGAGAACATAATACATGTCTAATACATGTCTAACCAGCTTTAATGAAGTGGAAAATTGTCGGAATATATATTTTAATGAATTAACGGTATATATTATACCGTTATTATATTATTATCATTGATCGTAAATTGGTCGTTTCTTATAAATTTGTTAATTGAGAATATTAATATTTGACAAGACAACTAACGTCTATACAGGACATAATTTTCAAAAATTTTACTCTTTTTATTAGAATATTTTATTTAATAAAAAAAAAATTATTCCTAAATTTTGCATTTTTATAATATATATATATATATATATATATATATATATATATATATATATATATATATATATATTTTTTTTTTAAGCTTTGAAATTTTCAATAATCCTAATTTTAAAAAAATTAATAAAAATAAATGTATATAGTTAATATTTTGTTTTAAGAAGCTTTCTTAGTCGTAGATCACCATTGAATCGTTGTCGTTGAACGTCATCGAAGAAGTGGAAATCGAGGGTTGTGATCGAAAAGAAGTTTTGGGTCAGGTTTGGGCTTCGAAAGAAGAACCACAAGAAAACTCAAAGATAAACCCATAGCCACTAACAAATGCTCGAGCTCAAATCCGTGGCGATTCCTTAAGTAATTCAACGCATCGATTAGGGAGTTCCATTGAGGGAGACCTAAGTAAGAGTGATATGAACTATGACCAAGAAATTTCCATACCTCAAGGTCTAATTGCAAGGACGAGAACCAAGAATCCACAACAAACCTTATACACTTATATTCAAGCTATGGTGAGCTTATCAAAGAAAATTCTAGAAGACATTGGAGACCTCTCTTATATATGGTGCAAAGTTGAGTTTCAAGAAAGAGATGAATTAAATATACTTTAA